TTCCTAAGTATTTCATTTTTCTTGATGCCTTTGTGAAAAGTATTGTTTCCCTAATTTCCCTCTTAACAGATTTATTTTTGAGGGTTGACTTTGGGTTCTGCTACACTACTGTATTTTGTAATTAATTCTCAGAGTCTTTTGGTGGGGTTTTTGAAGTTTACTATATAAAGTATAATGTCATCTTCAAATAATGATAATTTAACATCTTTTTTCTTACCTATATCCTTTTATTTCTTTCTTTTGTCCAATTGCTCTGTTTTGAGAACTGCATTGAACAGGAGTGCTGAAAGTGCACATCTTTGTCTTGTTCCTGTTTTTTATAGGGAAAGCTTTCAGCCTCTTTCCACTTAGTATGATGTTGGCTATTGGTTTGCCATAGATAGCTTTTATCAGATTGAGATAAAGGTCTTCTATACCTATTTTTTTAAGGCTTGTTTTTATCATGAATGGATGTTGTATTTTCAAAGGGTTTTTCTGCATCTGTTGAGATAGGCATGTGATTTTTGTTCTGTTTATGTGATATATTATGTTAGTCATTGATATGTATATTAACAGATAATTTCTACTTAGTCATGTTGTATGATCTTTTTGATCATTTTGCTGCATTCTGTTTATCACTATCTTATTGAGGACATTGACATATAATTCTTTTTTTGTGTATGTGGGGTTTCTTTTTTCTGGTTTTGGAAACCGGGTAATGCTAGCTTCCAGGAATGACTTTGGGACTATTCCTTCCCTTTCCATTATTTTAAAGAGTTTGAAGAGGATTTGCATTAGATCTGCTCTAAAATTCTCATAGAATTCTCTACTTTTTATAGTTGGTTTTTGTTTTACTTCTTCAATTTCATTGACTGATAATTGAGTTAAAATCTTGAAAAATCCAGTATATCTTTTTGGTTCAGTTTTGGTAGTTAGTATGTTTAGGAATCTTCACTTTTGAGTTTTTCATTTTCTTAAAATACGGTTTCTAGGGGCGGGGGAGATGGCTCAGTAGAATAAGCGCTTCTCTGGCAAGCGCAAGGGCCTGAGTTCAATTCCCGGTTCTGAAGAAAAAAAACAAAAAAAACCCATATATATATATGGCTTTTCAAAGTCCAGTGGTGGTCAGTTATCTGGATATCAGCAGAATCTGTTGTGATTTTACCCTTTTCATTTCTAATAGCATAGATTTAGGTTTTTTTCTTTGCTTATTTTGATAATATTGGCTAAGGGATTATCTATTTATTTTTTTCAAAGAACCAGCTGTTCATTTCATTGATTCTTTATGTTTCAATTTTATTAATTTCTGAGCTAATATTTACAATTTCCTTCATTGCGCTAGCTTTGAGTTTGTATTGTCCTTGTTTTTCTAGAACCATAAGGTGCATCATTAGGTTATTTTCTATGGTGAAAATTCACAACTATAAACTTCCCTCTTAGGAGTGCTTTCATTATGCTACATTGGTTCCCATATGTTGTATTGCCATTATCATTTGATTATAGGAATTGTCTCATTGTTTTTTTACTTTCATCTGTGATTTATTGATTATTTAGTAGGGTATTGTTTAATTCATGTGTTTATATAGTTTCTGTAAGGTTTCTTTTTTTTGCCATTGATATCTGGTTTTACTGCATTATGGTCTGAGAAGTTGCATGGGATAATTTTGATTCTTTTGCATTTGTTCAGAGTTTTGCTTTAGGGGCCAGGGAGTTAGCTCAGTAGATTAAGTGCTTGCCTGGCAAGTGCAAGGTCCTGAGTTCAATTCCCGGTACTGAAAAAAAAAAAAAATCATCAAAGTTTTGATTTAACTCTTAATTCTTTGTTGATTTTTTTTTTTTTTTTTTTTTTGGTCAGATTGACTTGTCCAGTAGTAGTATAGTGTCCCCCATTTCAAAAGTATTGGTGTTTATTTGATTTTTCATGTATATTATATTAGTGTTTGTTATATGAAGTTGGATATGACAATATTTGGCGCATGTATGTTTAGAATTGTTAGCGCTTCCCATTCAGTTGTTTCTTAAACCATTATATAGTGACCTTCTTTGACTCTTCTGATCAGTCTTGGCCTAAAATCCACTTTCTGAAATTAGACTTTTTTCTAAGTCTCTGTTGCATGGAGTACTGTTTTCTACCCTTTGATTTTTTAATCTATGAGTTTCTTTTTGAATGAAATGTATTTCTTTCTTTCTTTCTTTCTTTTTTTTTTTTTGTGGAACTGGGGATTGAACTCTGAAATGTATTTCTTATGTGCTAAATAGTGATGGGTTATGTTTCTTGATCCATGCTGCCAGTCTTTTTCTTTTGATTGGAGAATGAAGACCATTAATATTGACTGTTATTACTGCGGGATACTGACTTATTCCTGTCATTGTATTATTTGCCTGTTGTTAGTGTCTTTTTTTTTTTTTTTTTTCATTTTGCATAGTTGCTTATCCCACGAGACAGTGGTGGTAGCTGCTGCTACTGCTGCTGCTGCTTCTTCCTCGTTTTCCTCCTCCTCCTCTCCTCCTCCTTCTCTTCCTCCTCCTCTTCTTCTTTCTCCTTCTCCCTCTCCATCCTCCTCTTGCTCTTCCTCCTCCTGTTTCTTATTGGCAATGTTGGTTTCATTGCATCTTTCTAGGATATTCTTGAGAATTTTTTTGATCTGATGGTCATGAACTTCTTGAGGTGCTCTTTGTCATGGAAATACTTTATTTTTCCATCAATTTTGAAGGAAACTTTTGTAGGATAAGTAAGTTAAGGTTGGAAGTTATTTATCTTTAAAAGCTCAAATCACTTCACTCTATGCCCTCCCGGCCTTTAAGCTTGTATAGAGAAATCTTCTGTGATTCTAATGGGCTTACCTTCATAGGTGCTTTATTGTCTTTGTCTAGCAGCTTTTAAAGTTTTGTTACTGTGGTGGACTTCCCGTAATGTGAGTATAATATGGAGCAGGGCACTTCTCTTTTGGTCATGGCTGTGTGGACTTCAGTATGCCTCACTGTGTGTTTTTTCTTTCTCTGTTTATGTTTTCTTCTTTCATTTTCTTTTGGTACTAGCATTCAGACTCACAACCTTGTGCTTGCCAGCTAGGTACTGTACCCCTGAGCTAGCTACATTCCCAGGGGGTGGGGCTGGCTGACATGAGGTGCTGGGGGATCGAACTGCGGTCCCTGTGCTTTGTCAAGCTTATTCTAAGTAGGTGCTTTAGGCCACTGAGCCATCTCTCCAGCCCTCTACCATCATTTCTATGAACAGGTTTTTAATGCCATTTTTGTTGTCTTCTGATTAGTCATTTATTTCAGTTGCTCTTAGGTTAGTTTTCTTTATGTTATCTCACAGCAATTACATCCATTTATGTTCTTTGGTGTTTTTAAGGTATCTTAATGTAGCTGATCTTTGAAAACATCATTGTCTTCTAGTTCTGAAATTCTGTCCTCACAATGGTCACTTTTTCGTCCCATACTTTCAGTATAACTTTTACTCTCCTGAATTGCTGGTTGAAACTCTTCATGGATGCTAATCTTCATAAATATCTTTATTCATTTTTTTAAAAACTGTTTTGATTAGTTCATTTAACTTTTCATTATTATGTTCTGAAAGCCCCTGGGTCATTTTGGTTGTTACTTCCATCATCTGTTTAGTTATATTTTCTATGATCTCCCTGAGTGTCTCTTTCATCTACTTTGTAATCTCTTCTCTTATCCTGTGGAGTAACGTGGATGTGTGGCTTATGCTTCTCTGCCCCTTAGTGCCCCTTGGATTGGCTTGAGGGTAGTTAGGAGTTTGGGGAGACATTTTGTTGACTTCTCATGTTCCTGTTGTTTTTGTTTATTTAGAATTGTATTTAAGTACATGATTGCGAGTGGAAAATAAGGGACAGAAATCAGGTATTGGCAGTTTTTCTATTTTCACTTGTGTGTGAATTTTTATCTTCATGCAGGATGTAAAGCATTAATGCAAGTCAGAAATGTTTCAGTGAACAAGTTTCAGCACTTCAACCTCATAACAATTATAAATAAAAATCTGTTAGAATTTTTCTGGAAAACACCAGCATTTGGATTTTTTTTTTTTTAAAAAAACAAGTAGATTTCTTATTGACAGGGGGGAAAAAAAGAATTGATGACTTTGAGAATGTAGTTTTAGGTAACTAAAAGGTGGAACACAAGATAAACTTAAAATTTTCAAAATAAATAGAGAAATTCAATCAACAGATGAAGAAATAAGGTAAAGTTTAAGCTTGATTAATTTTAAAGAAAGAAAACAAGCCAGTTGAGGTAGACAGAGTGATTTCCTCTCTGTAAAAAAAGTGGTGTTTTTTGTCTTATTTGGGACAGGGTCTTGCTATGCAGCTCAAGCTGGCCTCGAGCTCCCATTCAGGGTGTTGGTTTTTGAACCATTCATTTGCTACAGAGGATGTGTCACAGGGTGCTGCTTTAGTAGTGACTGTGGTAAAGCTTGCTGAGTGACCTTGTATTCAGAAGACTCATCTGAGGGGAATGCGTGAGGTTTTCAAGGAATCATCTAAACAAAGGAAAACACACTACCAAGGAGGAAGCTCTGAACCTCTGTAATATTTCTGTCCATATAGATTAAATGAGTAACATATAAATGAAAATCCAGCTGAGCACACTCAAAAGCTTTGTTTTTTAAAAGTAATTTTGTTATATTCTTTTTGCTATTTTTAGGCAAGATCTCACTGTGTAGGCTATTCATGAACTTGTATCAATCCTGCTTAGCCTTCTGAGTGCTGGGATTATAAGCATATATCACCGTGCCTAAGTAATTTTGTTATATTCTAATATTCAAAGAATCTGTATGATATTTTATACTCAAATCTCTAGTATATATTATACAATATATTCTAATACTCTCTAAGAAAAAGTACATATCAAGATTTAGTTTTCATCCTTTATTGGATATATAACACTCCTTGGTTTATACTATTGTCTTATTTTTCTAGTGATGATTTAATGCTGATTCTGTTTTTCTTCAAAAAGCTTTCAATCACATTTTCCTTAAACACAGTCATGGTATAAAGACAATGAAATAGAAGAAATCAGTGGACTGGAGATGTGCCACAGTCTAATGCACCTTAGTTTGGCCAACAACAAGATCACAACAATTAATGGCTTAAACACGTTACCAATCAAAATACTTTGTCTGGTGAGAGATGAATAAAATGTTATTCATTATGGAAGTAGAGGGTAATGTTTAGTAAATGTATGAAGTATGACTATTGAGAATTTTTCAAGGGTATAGGAGCTAGTTTCATCATTTAAAAATGTTATTGTCTTTAGTTTGTTTTTTCTGTGTGTGTGTGTGTGTGTGTGTGTGTGTCTGTGTCTGTGTGTCTGTGTCTGTGTTTGTGGATATCATAATCTATGCTTAAGTAAAATTCTAATATGGTTCCAAATTGCATTTTTTAGAAGATCAGATTTTTATACTGGGAAAGGTATATTTTTAGCAAATGTTTCAAATATTTTATTTTTTTGTGAAATAACATATGAAAATATTTAAGCCTAATATTTGTTGTTGCTCATACTTAATTGCTTTCAGATGCATTCTTTATAGCTTTTCAGTGTTTTCTTGGCACTAAATTTGGGTAGTCCTTTTACATTAATACATGTGTGTCTCCCATTCTAGAAAAACAGAACTTGTTTTGATAATAAATGAACAATTCCAGGCAGAAAGTTTAGATTTTTTTCAGAGAGCTTTCTTTTAAAGCTATGTGTCTTAGTTAGTTTTCTCATTGCTGAGACAAAATATCTGACACCTAAAGTTAAAGGAGAAAAACTTTATTTATGTAGAGATTTTATTTTATTTAAAAAAAAATTTTTTTTAATGTGTGTGTGTGTGTGTGTGTGTGTGTGGCCAGCTCAGCCCACCAGGGGGCGGGGCTGGCTGGCATGTGGTGCTGGGGGATCGAACCGCGTTCCCTGTGCTTTGCTAAGCTTGTTCTAAGTAGGTGCTTTAGACCACTGAGCCATCTCACCAGCCTTAGAGATTTTATTGTAGTTGGCTTGTTCCAGGGTAGGATGGCATGGCAGATGGGTATCACAGAGGAGAAGCAGTCCATAGCAAAGCAGGGCAGGCAGAAGGCAGCAAGCAGCAAGCCACAAACAATAAGCCATAGAGTCCTTCTGTCTTTTTACTTTGTATCCAGGCTACCTGCCCTTAGGGCATGTATCACTCATGCCAAAGGTGGAACACCCTTAATCCTACCCAGAAGTATTCTAAACCAATTAGTAATTTGGTTATCCCACACCCTTATTCCCAGCATCACAGTCTCTAGATCCAGCCACCTCTGAAAAGCCCCATTTGTGATCATCTGAAGCTTTGAGGTAGGAGCATCTGGACATAAGCCATAACTCAATGAAAGTAGAGGTTATTTACAAGAAAATTCAGTAGGCTTACCAACCTCAATGATATTTAAAAAACAGTATAGGGATCACTAATGTAAGGGGCTGTAATTTAGTTTGTGGGATATCCAAGATTCTTACTCATTTCTTCTTTCATCCTACCCTAGATGGCTTTCTACTTTATATTGCATCATTCCCAGGGAGGGCAGGGAGCATTTTCAAGCTATGAGGCCTGTGGCTTATTCATTTTTTATGTGAACTCTTCCACAAGATATTAAACTGTAGTTTGAAATGACATCTTGGGCTATCTGCAGATTTTTGATATATGTGATGTACTATTCTTGTCTTACTATATTTAGCTATACATCATTCAAGGTTGGCTGTGTGATAATTGTTTTCCCTGAGCTTACAGCCTGAAGTATTTTTTGAAGTCCTTCCCATGTCTACATTGAGTTAGGAGAGGGTAAAGTACTAGTATCCTAGTACTGAGGATGGAACTGAGGAGGGAAGAGTTTAATAATGTACTTGTGGTTTTATGTTTTCTGCCTTCTAAGCCATGTTAGAAAAACATAAATATAAATTTAATAAATTGGAGTAAAAAATTTAAAATTATCAAAGAAAGTCATTTCACATTTATGATAATCTGAAGGATTATTGGCAGCATTGTTGTATACATTTTGTAGTTTGTTAGAAACTTAAACTTTCTCTGCATATTTGTCTGTAGTGACTTTCTCACTAATTTTAAGTAGTGCATGACAAGTGGAAAAAGATTTGGAGGAGTACAAAGTACAATAGGGAATGAGAATTGAGCTCATTATTAAGAATGATGCATAATGCTTTCATCCTAAGAATTTCTTTTGTTAACATAAGTAATCCATGCTGACAGTTTGGTCGCAAGCAGTTTTTAGAAAAGAAGCATCAAATACTTATACTTTCTACAAATAGATTAAATTGTTTCTAGTCCCTGAATTCATTGCCTAAAAAGAACTAAAAAGTACCATGCTGTCATTTGTTTTCCTTAAAATTTTTGAGAAATGATTTATTTTCTTATTTTTTTTTCAAATTTATTTATTTATTTATTTAATACTGAGGATTGAACTCAAGACCTTGTGCTTGCTAGGGAGGCACTTATGCTGCTAAGCTGTCACCTCCTCTTTTCTAAATTTTAGTAAAATTTATAATGTGAAATGATACCTATTGGCTTCAACAGATTTAAAAAGTTTTATTTTTAATTTATGGATCAGATAAGTTGTTGCTTTAGTTACTATGGAGGAATTAATTTTATAATTTAGAGAAGGAACAAGCCAATTGCTAATTCTCAACCTTCAATTTTTAAGATAAATGTAAAAGTTGAAAGGAGAAATGTGGTTTACTAATGGGCTGTTCTGTAGTCCAGCTTCTTAGCAAGTAATGACAATGTATTTTGAACTTTATACTTCATTTTGTTACAGTAAGAACCACTTGACTTTCTCTCCCAAATTGGTAGATTAAGAATATTTCTAATTTCATTTAAGAAAATAACTTTCTCTAAAAGTGTTTCTCTATGATCATTATAAAATAAGCATGAAGAATTGTTCATACAGAAACTGGATGTCCGTGTATAGAAGTGATAATCAGTTTTTCAGCCTTGGATAAAAGCTTCTAACTACCTAACTTCCAAAAATTCTGTGATTCTGAAATTTTCTCAGTTCTGGTTTCTTTTATGACCATAGGCTATCTAATTAAACTTTTCTATGCCTATCTCTGCTCGTATCATTTACCAATTTGAAAGCCATCAGAGACACTGTGAAGAGAAATTACAGTCTGTCTAACAAATCTAAAGCTCTTCAAAGTTTTTTGGAGAAGAAATGTATATAAATTTGATGTATGGACATTTTTTGAATAGGATATTAAAACATTTTCAACATTTTAAATAGATAGGGGTAAAATGTTAAATTTAGTGTAGTTTTTTTTCTTTTCTCTATTGCACTTTTTATAGCTTTTTTGAACTCTGGACAGAAGGAAATTTGAATTCATTTTGGAAAATGGGGCTATGAATATTTTTCATTTTATAATGGAAATTTTCAAATATATAACAATAAAAAGAATAGTATAATAAACCCACATGTACTATGACCAAGTTTTATATATTATTAACATTATATTAACATGCTTTAAGGAGCCATAAAATTATGCTAATGAACACAAATCTGGCTCATTGTTGAAGCAAAATTTTATGAAAAATAGGATGAAAATGAGTTTTTGCTATTAAATGTACAAAGAAACATGTACCAGTAAAAATATTCTTATAGAAGAGAATGCTTTTAATTCTTCAGTTCTTAATGCTCATTAGAAGTTTTGAATATTTTAAGGATAGATCCAAAAAAGCATTAAATGAGACCTCAAAATTATGTATTTTTTCATTTTTGAACTCTAACTGAAGATTTAATTTTCCTGTTTCTCAAAGCTAAGGAAGCCAAGAGATTAAATATAATGGAAAATGAGCAAAAGAATATAAATTTTTACTATTCTTGTTATTAAGGGTACGTGGAAAATGGGAAAGGAGATAACATTTTAATATAGAATTTGTGTTTTATTCTCAGTGTCTAAAAGATGCTTATGTGTAATTTTTTTTTTTTTTTTTTTTTTTTGGTGGAACAGAGGATTGAACTCAGGCCCTTGCGCTTGCCAGGGAAGTGCTTATTCTACTGAGCCATCTCCCCAGCCTCTTGTGTAAATTTTTGAAGAGTTTGTTTGGCTATGTAGCATTGCATAGTAGGCCACTCTTCTTGTGATGACCTTGAGAAATAGCACTTTGATTAGATAACAGTTCTGTAATCTGAGCTGGGTTCAGCTGAGTGGTTCTTCTGTTGAGTTTGCCATATTCACCATTTCCCATTCTCCATGTACCCATAATAACAAGAATGGTGAAAATTAAATTCTTTTTCACATTTTCCAATATATTTAATTCCTTGGCTTTCTTAGCTTTGAGATACAGGAAAGTGTTGATTCAGGGTTTAACTCATCTGGGCACTGAGATGGCTACATTTTCTCTTTGGTTAGTCCTGGGGCCTCCTTCCATGACGACTTCTCCAGGTGCCCTCTGCTCAAGTTTTCTGCCATAGAGTAGCTGAAATTCCTTATGATATCTCAGGTCTTGCCCATCTTGGGCTTGAAATAGCATACTTCTGCCATACTTTTTTGGTTATAAGGGAAGTTACAGACTAGCCTAGGTTAAAGGGGAGACAACTGCACAAGAGCATGCCTAACTGTAGGCATGGCTTATTGGAGAGCCAACAAGGCAAAAGACTGCCATAGCCTACATGATTTGAATCTCTGGGCTTAAAGTGTTTCTGAAAACAATCCGAATGTGGGAACTATTATTATTATAGTGCTGAAATTGAGTTGCATTAAATTTGTATTTCTAGAGACAAACATGGCTTTAGGCTTTAGGCTTGCAATATCAAAAGCTTATATTACCTAAGTGTCATCTTTCCTACTGTTTTGAGTACTTATCTTGAAATATTAAGTATTAAAATAGTAAACAAAAATACGATATTTTGATCTTCCAGCCAAAAACCTAAGATTTATTTAGAGAGAGGCAAATGATACATGATTGTGTGTGTTTTGTGTATGTGTGCGTGTAAGAACATTTATTGATTTTTTTTAGAGTAATTTTGGGCAGTATTCAAAATGATGACTTAATCTGGTGAATAATTTTAAAATACTAAGTATAATTTGTCCATTTTAGAGCAATAACCTGATTGAGAAGGTCACAGGTTTGGAAGATCTGAAAATTCTGCAGAACTTGGATCTATCTCACAATCAAATAAATAGCCTCCAAGGCTTAGAAGATCATAGCCTCCTGGAAGTTATCAACCTAGAGGATAATAAGGTAATGTGCTTTATAGCTCTTGGTCTCAGGTAATGTGCTTTATAGCTCTTGGTCTCAGGATATGTCAGAGTCAGTACAAACACTGCACTATTGGTTTTGCAAGGGTTAACGACTGGAATGCCAGTTAAAAAATGTTATCCTAGCAAACTTCCTAGAGCAGTAGTTGCAGAACTAATTTTAAAAAATAAATAATTGAAGTTCATAATTTTTGAAAAGCTGATGATTCCAAATCACATTCACATTATTTTAAAGGTTTAAACTTCAACCATTTGTGTATAATTTTTTTTTTTTTTTTTTTAATGGGGATTGAAATCAGGCCCTTGCGCTTGCCAGGCAAGTGCTTATTCTACTGAGCTATCTCTCCAGCCCCAGAAGGATTTTTTTTTTTTTTTTTTTTTTTAAGCTGGCTCAGGATGCCTTAAGGGCAGGTCTGGTAAGGCATGAGGATTTGGGGATTGAACCATAGTATCCTGAGGCTGACTGCCTTCACTTAAGCAGGTGCTTAAATAACTGAGCTAATGGGCAGGCCCCCTGTATATAATATTTTGAAGTAAATGTGTTCATATAATATTTGTAGAAACCACATTACTAAAAAAAAAGAAAAGAAAAGAAAAGAAAAGAAAAGAAAAAAGAAACCACATTACTTTGCTGTACAACTCTAAACTTAACTTTTAATAAAGATTGCCAGAATATTCTAGAGATCATGTTTTTGTTTTCCTCAAACTTTACCAAATAAATATGAATATCTGAAATTGCTAAATGAATCCAAAAGGCATTATATCAAAACCTTTAACATATCTTAATATTAGATATAACTACATTACAAATGTAAAACTTTAAGAAAGGAAATGAAAATGTGGTCAAACAGTCAAGTAAAAATTTTTTGTAAAGAAAGAGGGCACTAGGGGTACCTGAATTATGTGATAAATGAGAGTGGAGATATGAAAATATCCTTGGGTTAGTGGTGTTCTTTACAAACATTTGGAGAGAAGAATGTGTATGGTTTTTTTGTGTGTGGGCAGGAGTTTGAGGAAGTATCAGCCAAAGAATATTAAAAAATTTAACTTGGATAAGAATTAGTCATATATTTTTGAAAAATGCTAAGAGGGTAGATTTTAAATGTTCCCACTTTGGTTACAAAAAGGTTAGCTTTTTGTTATAATAGTGTAGTATATGTGGATTAGTTAGATTTAGATACCCCACAGTTTATATATACTTTAGTACATCATTTGTAGATAAATATAATTTTATCTGCAATTAAAAAATTTTAAGTGTAAATACCCTGAGAATTAATCATTAAAAAATAAAGGTGCATAGGAAGCCAATTTTTACATTTTATTGATAATACTAATAATTAATTTTCCTGTGTTCATAATGGTTAGTAATAGGGCTGGGGAGATGGTTCAGTAGGGACTGAGTTCAATTCCTGGTTCCACCAAAAAAAAAAAAAAATAGTAATTGGGTTTGTTCAAATTTTGATATCTAGGGCTGGGGAGATAGCTCAGTAGAATAAGTGCTTGCCTGGCAAGTGCAAGGTCCTGCATTTGATTCCTGGTACCACCACCAAAAAAAAAAAAAAAAAGTGTCCCAAATTTTGGTATCGAATTTAACATGTACTTTACTTCAAAAATTACATAAGTATAAATTATATATTCTTACACTCTATTTTTCGTAAAGCGTTTTTGCTCCTAATCATACTACATTAAGTTAGTACCTATAGTTGACTTCATATGCAATAAGGTCTACAAATTGATTTTATTTGTACTGAATACTTCATCACATTTTGGGGGGAGACATTTCATAAGCAAGTTATTTCTTTTTGAAAGTGAGAATATGGGTGTACCGCAGAACGGTGCTCTCTGGCTAGGGATGTGACACGCTGGGAGCCTTGCCCACCCAGCTGTGGTGCTTCTCGTTGGTCTTGTCTGGAGACTGTTTCTCCAGATACCTTGCATCATCTATTAGGTAGCTGAACATCAAGAAAAGTTAATCATTAAGCTCTGGGGATAAATAAACTTTTAATCACAATCAAAACTGCTCCTTATCTCACTTGATTTATATTTTAAATGATTTTGGTGACTTAAGTTAGTTCTAGTGGATGGCCTTTTTATGCAATGCCCTGTCTTGGGAAGTTAGCATAATCTCCTTTTCATACAGTTTTAGTGTGCTCTTTGATACCACTGATGACTTTTTAAAAAGTTTTCCTGCTTAGTAGATTTCACATAAATGCAGGGAGTGGTGAAAAGGTAGGATATACTCATTAAATCCCAAATCAGTATAGCTCAGGATTTAGGAAAAGGAGTAAAAGTAATGATACTAATAACAATTACAGTCATAAAATAATCCTGAGATATCTGCTGAGTACTTATGCACTAAGCACTATCCTAAGCACTTTATACATCTTATTTAATCCTTATTATGGCCATATTAGAAACTGGGACACAGAAAAGTTAAGTAACTTTCTTAAAGCTATTTATCAAGCAAATAGCAGAGCCAGGATTCTGGTATAGAATGATGTTCCCCTAGAGTCAGTGTGTTCTACTTCTGTAGGTTAATACAGTAAAATACAGGCCCATGCTCTCCCCTCAGAAATGAGTGTAGTGTAAGGCTTTTTTAAAGTGCTTTTTTGGCTGGTCATGGTGATGTTGACCTGGAGGCTGAGACAGGAGGATCACCATGAATTGGCCAGCCTCAAGTACATAGTGAGTTCAAATACAGCCTGAACTGCATAGTGAGACCCTGTCTCCAAAAAAAAAAAAAAAGAAAAAGAAAAAAAAAAAAACCAAAAAAACAAAAATAAACAAACAAAAAAAGTTTTTTCATAGAAACATAATATGAACCATATATGTGAGCTACAGATGTCTTGAAAATCCTTAGTAGCCATAATAAAAAGAAAAATTTAGCTTCAGTAATACATTTCACTTAACTCAGTATTCCCAAAATATTATCATTTTAGCCTGTAATTTACATATGAAATTAATGATGAGATATTTTACCTTCTGTAGTCTTACAATGAGTTTTTGACATCAGGTGTGTATTTATACTTAGGCACATCTCATTGAATCCTAACAATGCTTCAGTTGAGTTAAGTAGCTAGTAACTGTCATAATAGAGGGTGCAGTCTAGAAACCTCTCCCAAGTAGTGTATTGTACTCTTACATCTCAAGGGACTCTTCATCCTTAAATGCAGAGAGGAGTCTATATGGTTCAAATGTTAAAGAGACTGTATTTTAAAAAGTGGCCGCGTGTCCCAAAGGAACTCCTTCGGCAACAGTTGGGTCCATGCTGATAACTAATTCCCTGTAGTACTTTGAAATATTCTTTGAGCCGTCTGAATTGTTCCTCAGAGATTTTCTAGGACAACTGTGCATTAGAGATGAAAAATTTATCATGTAAAAGCAACATAGCATAGCTTTTGCCTCTTACTTGATTAATTTGATATTAGGAATATTACTATATTGGTTGCACTTTCAATATTGCTTACATTTTATTTTTATTTATTTACTTATTTATTTTGCTCCCAATGCCTTCAGGGCAGGTTTGGCTGGCTGGAGTTGTGGGGATCGAACCACAGCAACCTGAGCCTGACTGCTTTGTTGAAGCAGTCACTTAAAGAACTGAGCTAAGGGACAGGCCCCTTATTGCTTACATTTTAGCTGTTGAAGCATGCTCTGGACATGTGGTCATTTACACATCTGTCCTTTGCAAGTACTTATTGTGAGCTGGCAACTTGAAGGCCTTTTTTACTGTCTACTCTGCAGTCCCTGCTAGCTTTTAAGTAATGAGTAGCATTTAAGACATATCAAGTGGTTAACTCTATTGTAATCTCTTCTTTCTTCTGGCCACAGGATATTGTCTCAAAGTTACTTAGAGAATGCTGGGTCACTGCTTTGAGTCTTATTGTCCTCATCTTGCAGTATTTGTTCTTGCTTTTTTAAAGTGTCTTTACAGCTTAACAAGATAATATTCATAGAGCAAGAGAAAGGAGGAAATAACTTCAGTCCAAAGTAATCAATGCATTCCTTCAACCTCATAGTCTTTGTAGAGTGTCTTGGCCATTCTCCACAAAGACTTTCTGCTCTTTGTTTTAGCAATTTTTTGTATGGGTAGGAATTCTTTATAGGGTTTTTCTTGCTTCTTGCTGTTCAGAAATACATAACATTTAATTTGTCAGACAAGCGATGCATGGACATCCCCTTGTCTTCATTGGATGCTGGCTCATGTATATGAACAAAAAGAATTTGGGAGATGGGGGATGAATACAGTCTGACTCCTAAGCCAACTTGATACCTCTCTTAATTTATATTTGTTAGGCCTGAAAAGATAGATATTGAAGTAAATGGGAATCCTGAGATTTCCAGAGACTGACAGCATGGATACAGAGGCAGCCAGTGCTGAGTATAGGAAATTCTGGAATGAACAGCTCTCCTGATAAAATTAATCTTCATTCTGTGTGGCCCAAGTGTCCACTCATAAGATTAATGACCATTTGGCCTGGCGGTACCTGGTACCCTGTCACGGGATACAGGCAGGAGGAAGGCTCCTTTGCAGGCCTGTAGCTTCTTCATGTGCAAGAAGATGGCCACTGCCAGTCAGCCTCGGGTAGGATACAGTTACACAAGTAGCTGCAGCTTTTCCTCCAACTTCTCTCTCCAGGGAGGCTTAGCTCTCTGCTGGACACACATTTGGAACCCAAGTCCTAGTGCTACCTTTTTACTTTTCCAAGTACTTTTGGGGCTTCTAGACCAAGGCTTTTGTCATCTACTCTTTGCCTGTAACTTCCACTTCAATGCCTATTTCATGGTGATGAATTTGGTTTACTTGGTGATCTGGATCTGTGGAATGAGAGTCACCCCACTGAAGGAAGTCAAAGACCTTTCTGACCAGCTTAGGTGAGCAGTGCCACAAAAGATGGTCCATCACAGTCAGTCCACTTGACGGGCGTTGGAGAGCAGCAGTAGCAGGGAGAGTACCTAGAGCTAAGTGCTCCTTTCAGAAGG